GTACAATGTACTTTCACTCAATCACACCGCTGCTCTGCACACAACTTTCTCTTGCAGCAGTCTTTTCTACTGGTGGCAAGGACTGAAATGACTTCAGTACACTTAAAAATTAATTATTTTGTTTTCCTGGTTATTTTATCTCCTCAAAACCAATGTAGAGAACTGTTGTGATAAACAGTAACTGGGCAACAAATGTAGTATTTTAAGTAGCTGGAATTTGACTTAGCTTAACATACATTGCCCAAGTGCATTAGCTGAAATGACTAACACAGAGATGAAGGTCTAGGTACCCTGCAGCATCTCACTGCTCGACACCACGCACTGAAGAATGGCAGCATGCTGGCAGAGGGGGGATTCTGGTGAGCCCACTGATTGAATCACAAACCGTGAAACAATTCTCCCATAGAGTCCAGAGGCTCATTCTTACAGCATTTAAACTGCATGCTTCCCTTGTGAATGAAGCCATGTAACACCAAGACACAACAGCAGCATTTCCTGCCGAGGAGCTTTTTCAGAAACACAAGCTCGGGTTACCCTGGCAAAACTGGAGGTGGATAACAACAAACACCAATGGTCAGGGTGTCCTGACATTTTTTCGTTCCAGGCCCTGAGCATTTCTGTTGCTACGCCTTTTACTGATCTAGCTGTTCAAAACAACAGCTTTCTGTGGTGGTGTTCAACCTCTAACTCACCTGACTTTACAAGTTTCAGCCAAACTCGGCTAAGTTGATTTGAAGAACAAGGTAGACAGTTAATGGCCTTTGGTTTTCTTTCTTTCTTTGGCTTCTTGGAAGTTTTACAAAAGCATATTGTCCTGGGGCAAAAGAACTGCTTTTGCTGTCCTAGTGAAAATATGCCTGTTACAAAGGCAAGTTACAAAGCTTAATATATTATATCACTGTTTGGACATGCACTGTAAAAGGTCAGAAAACTTCATCTAGCCTGAATCCATTCATGGACACAGGCATCTACAGGTACTGGCCTATAGGTCAGCTCAGGGCCTAAGGGAGACAGTGCATTTCACACCCTGTAACACCTATATATGTATTTTTTCCTCCTAACTACTCAGCTCCTATAAAACACACTTAGAAAAATCCCCAAATCCTGTAACTGAAAACAGTGACACGCTGAATCAAATGTGATCAAAAAGGGCACAGTGCACTCATAAAGATACTGGCTTTAACCATGTTTCAACCTGTACAAGCTACCCTTGCTGAGAACTAACGCTGAAACATGCCTCTATGAAAGGTGGTAGCTGCCATGTTATCACCACCTCCCTCCTCCTGTCCTCAGAAAGATGTAGGGCCACAAAAAGCAGAATAAACGTCTCACTGCAGCTGGGAGAAAGGAGAAACTAAAAAGGCTCAGCTGCTGGTACACAGAGTACTGTAGAAAACCTCCTGGAGGAGAGGGAGAGAAAATGAAAAGGGTATGCTCTAGTTACAGAGAAACCCAACAGAGGAATTTTACAGTGCATGTACTTTTTAAAAAGCCACGCTTTTTACTTTAAGTCCATTCCATTGTACTTGCCAAAGGAAAGAAGGGAAACTTCACAGAGCGCCTGGAGAGGCTTCTCCTCAGGAAATCCTCCCATCTCTTCAGCCTGGGCTGCTGCTGCTGCTCAGGGCTGCCTGTCAGGCAATCTTTAGAAGCACGTTACCACGTCTGACAGCAAACCTCAGCCACAAAAGTTTCCAGAGGAGTTACCCTCCTCTGCGAGGTTTCTTATTTTCCCTATTGGCTGCACAGTGTTTCAGCACTCTGGTTAATTATATCAATGCTTAGATACAACTTCCCCTTCCCTCCCCTCCCAAAAAAAAAGATGGTGTCTCAAGGCCCTGGCTGCAGGGAAATGGCTGCTGGCTTTAAATAATCCAGATAGGGAGGCACGAGGAGGGGGGACAAGGGGGGGCAGAAAGCACAGAGAATAACCCCTCCCTTAGCTAATAGGGGTGCAGGCAGCCTCTCTGGGACCAGTTCCATCACTAATTAGGGTGCATGCAGGTCCTGGGGCTTCAAAGGGACGTGGACTGGCCAGGGGGTGATGCATGCAGGATGCATAGGGCCACAGCCCACTGCAGTGGGACAAAGGGCCCTATTCTGGCTCCCCACAGCAGGACAGTTCTTACCGTAATTAGAAGACAAAGATGTCGGATCTGGGATTTTACATAACTGGGAGAGACTCTCTCAAGCGGGAGCCTCTCTCACACAATCGGTGGATTAAGCATTGTTTATTTTGCTGCAAGTAAACAATGAGGTGCTCCCAGCTCGTGGCTCTGCATGAAACAGTGCTCCCGGGGAGCACAAGGCTTTTCATCAAGCTTTGAACAGCTAACCCTGCGATTTCAAGTTGCTCATTTGACAGTATCTGGAAGGGCAAAGGCCCACTCCGTGAATGAGCTGCTCCCAGGCAGACCCAGGGGCTGCCAGACAGCCGTGCCGTTCCTTAATGGAGGAACAGGACAGGAAGATGCTGCGGGAGAGAGGCTGTACTTCACCAAGAGCTCGGCCACAGCCTGTTTGCGCCACGGTTTACAAAGAGAGCCATGTTGAGGCTGACAGAGCATCATTTGTTTCTTGGTTGTGACAACACAGTCTGTCCAGGGCTGCCCACAGCAGTAGCTGCAAAGCAACTGCCAGAGCCAGAGCATCTGGGGCCTGAGGATGCACAACATCTGATACCTGCTGCACAGAAGTCCTGATCAAGTGACTTGAATTTTACAATGCTGGCAATAAAAAGAGACTGAGCGTGTTCTGCTCCCTGCCCTTTGCTCCTAGCACAGCTGCTCTCCTTTTTCATTTGTTTGAACTTTGTTTAAGTAGAGTTCTTCCTCTTAGTCTTCTACAATAAGGAAACACTGGGATTTGATGAATGCTTTCTAACACTTTGCAGTTTGCTCCCCTGCCACAAACACACCCATACACACATACCTCCTGCTCTACTATTCCAGCAGTGTTTTCTCTTCAACTCCTTCACTTAAAAAGACACCTTCATGCCTCACAAAAGGAATCATTTCAGTCACGTTAATTCAGGACTGAAAACGGCACACCACAATCAGCACATTTTGTTGAATCCTGCAAACAGTCCTGCAAAACTCTGGGGACCAGGGTATTGCAGACCCTGCCTGCCTAGGACTTTCATCCTGCACAGATGAAACAGTCGCCTGAACAGCAGCCCAGACTGCTCTGCTTACCAGAGGATTTTCTGATAGGTTGGGGCAAGCAGACAGTGACATCTGACTCGTCTAGACCAGGACAAAAGGTGTATTTTAAGCCAGATAGGTAATGCAAGTTGCATTTGAATGTGTTAGCTGACCAGGGAAAACCATGGCTTCCTTGTCTTGCCCTCTCTCTACTGAAATGTCTTAAGTTGCTAAAGCAAATATTTGACAAAACCCCCTTTGCCATTGTCTAGACAAGCCCTAAAGACCCAGCACTACCCTTACCTCATGCCCACAGAGCATGACAATCATACCTTTGATTTGGGGACACTTTTTAGCCTGTGCAGCTCAACACAATTATGGGAAGCAAAATCCGTGTCAGGAGAATGTTACCCAAAAGTACGTCTGCTAATCCTAGGGAAAGAGCTACATGAAGAGGTACGTGAAGAGACTGCTTGCACAGCGTCCTTCTGCTTTGCAGCAACAGACTGTAAAGCTCCCAGGCTAGAATGGTGTCTATTAAATTGTCTTTTATCCATCACCCAAAGCCAGAGAACCCTCCTGTCCACTCAGCTTCATAGCATATAGCCTAGCAAAGATGTTGTATCTTTGCAGAAACTTAGGAGTAAGGCTAGTATTGGGTCAAGCCTAATAACACAGCCACTTTCTCTGAAGTGTAAAGGGTACTCCAAAGTTATCTCAGAGATCTTTCAGTGGGGATAGAGATCAACTGTTTCAATTTTGTTCTGTAATGAGAATTTACTTGATTGACTTCCAAAGCAGCAAACTTTAATTAAGTAACTATTATTTGCTGCACTAAGTTTAAGAAAGAGTTTTCCAAATCCCCTCCACATTAATTACAATTACAATGCCTTAAGAAAATACAAAAAGGTTCTAAACATATTCAGCAGTCTTTTCTAATGAAGTAAACAAATAAATAACGAACCCCAGCTCTGCTCCATCCCATTCTATTAAGACAATGTCTGCAGTAAAGAATGTTGACACTCAAAATGTCAAATTCTGCTACCTTCTGAAAATATCACTTGAGAATCCAATGTCCTAAACAAGCCTGAAGCGCTGACAGGTTTTTGCAAATGGATAACCTGCTTTTGTAAAATAGCAGCTTTTGTACGTGTTGAAACTAGACTTGGAATATCCCTTTTGTATCTTCATATTATCTGGCTCTAGTTTTTTTTCTATTAAAAAAAAAACAACAAACAGGAAATAAAAAAGGCATCAGAAATCTCAGGAGCAATTACTTGAACCAAAACACAAACCCCAAGCACCTTCCCAAACAATTAATAGCTAATTTTTCCTTATTAAGAGATGCTGATTTAAGCCAAAACCCAAAACATTCCCTAACCTCAATAGGCAGAAAAGCATTACACACTTTGCAGAAGGTGTGGAACCAGAAACTCGTCTATCTCCACTTACTCCCATGACAAGCAGCAAAACTTCAGGCAGAAGAACCTCATGGGTTGGTACCTGAGTGGATTTATCTAGCTTTGCTTCCTGCTTTAAGCATTTGCCATTTTATACAACTGTGATAAGTTGGGAAGGGAGGAAGGGGTGCTTTAGTTTCTCCTAAAACATTCCCAGCTATTAACTGGCAAGATCTCTTGTATCTGGAAAAATAAACAAATAAGTAAATAAATAAGTAAAACCTTCTAGCACACCGGTGACAAAAGATGAAGCAGAAAGATTCAAAACCAGTTCAAAATCAGAGCGGGGGTCAGTTAATAGTGCAGAGGTCTGAACAATGCTGGGTTTTTCTCCCCTCCCCAGCAGGCTCTCTGAGACCATCTGGCGACCAGAAATGCTGTCAAACCCACTTCTTACCTCAGTGAGTTATCTGGATGCGTCTCCATGTGGGACTCCAGCGCATACTTGCAAAAAAAGTCTTTGAAACATACTGGACAATGGTAAGCGTCATCTTCTTTCCTATCCCCTTCACCATACTGACCATCCTCGACAACCTACAGAGAAAGGAAAAGAAAAAACCCTCACTGGACTGAATTTCAAGCAACAAACCAGACATGCAACCCATTCAAAGTCTTCCTCTTATAAGCAGAGCAGTGACTTCCATCTGTAACTTTGCTGCAGGTGACCAGAAATTGCTCATTTTGGCAACAGAGTGCGTGAGAGGCAGCGCATGTGAGAATACACATGGCAGGAAGGAGGCTCAACAAGAGATGAAGCACGCAGCGAAGTTGCAGATGCATCAGTTCTAATGAGAAACTGCGATCTGAACGACTCATAAGCCTGCATGTTTATATACCACTGAACCAGCATTCCTCCTCCTTCAGAGAGCCAGGCGAGCTGTCAGCCTAAATTATTTATGCCACTGAAATACTGCCAACTGCTAACTCAAGTGGTCCATGGAAAAGCAATGAACTTCTGCGTGTTTTCTATAGCCCTCTTCTGATTACAGGGAGGAAAAGCATGCATGGAAACAAGGCTACTGAGCTACATGGACCTGCTACCAGTTTGCCATTTAGAGATGAAGTAGAAAGGGTCGAGTTAATTTTGGCAGCCACCACACGTTTTGGATAAATGACTAAAATGCAATAAAATATTTCATAAACAAAACCCTAATGGAAATGTCTAGCCTTCGCATAAATATTTTCTGGTTGCTCTTGCAACTCAAATAATGCAGGATTATGCTACTGCAAAAGGGAAACATACTATAGATTTTTTTTTCTCCAGTCATAACAAAAATGCACTTAAGTTGTTTCTTAAGTAAACACTTTTTTTGAAGTTCAAATCACCACCCTGCAAGAATACTATAAATTAAACAGGAAATAAAATGGGGGAAAAAACCAGCAGTAGTGAAAGAATAGCTTATCATCTTCTCATCCAACATTAGCTAATATATGCAATCAACAAGCATATATGCAATCAACATGCTAAATGAGAAATTTAAACAGCAAAGAATAATAATAATTCTTTCAATTTCTGAATTAGAAATGCATTTTCCATTTCAGACAACACTGTTGGGTACAGAGGAAAAACAGGTATCTCAAATCATACAGGACTGCAATGAGACCAAATGTTAATATTCCAGTGCTGACTGCATGAGCACAACGGCCAAAAGCATAGGAGGCAGTCAGGAAAGGCATTTGCTTCATGCCTGGTAACAAACCTTTTTTGCAGGTGTCCTTTCCTCTCTGTCCATCTCAGCATCTTGACTGAACTTCCGCTTTGAAGACAATCGCTTGCGCTTCAGCGGAGATGGGGGAGTTGTGCTCGCCGTGCTGTTTGGATCCTTCTCATGAATCTTCATGTGCCTGAGCAGGAGGGGGAAGAAGACACCATCAGCGGCCAAATTGGGATGGGAAGTCCACACCAATTTTAATGCCAACACCACTTCCAAGCTTTGCCTTCCAATGATCCCAGCACATGAACTGCATTGCAGTCCTGCCAGTCCTGAAATACCCAGCGTGGGTCTTCACAGCACCCAGGAGTGTGGGGCTGTAGGCCATCACTTTACTACCACCTGCACCTGCATCCGTCCCCCATTACCCCCAGGCTCTTCAAATTTCAACTGCACACGTGAAGTGGAAATAACACTGGTAACACTGTGAAACTGCAGCAAGCATGGCTTATGAAACTCTGTACTGCTAAAATGCCTTCCTAAACCCACATCCCCAGGACAAAGACTACTTACTGTCACAGTGACGCTGGAAAGGGGAAAAGAAGGCTCCACAAAACCTGCTTATATTGCTCCAGGTTAGAAGTACCTATCTCAATCCAAACCCAATCCAAACTCAATCCAAACCCAAGCAGTAACTAAGACACCCAGTGTATTTCTTTGGTTCTTTGGTGCAGCACATAAACCCAAAGAACAAAATGGCTGAGGAAGCAATCTCATGCCCATACACTTGGCTCACTTGCCTCTCAGTTTGCTTACGTTTGCAACCAAGCAAGATGCTCCCACTCAGTTCTCTTCAGTTAGATGACACATATTACTTCACTTTTCGTTTTCTGAGTACTCAACGCTTACCTCGTACTTTTTAAAAACCAGATGCAGGGCTTTTTGCTTCAAATTAATAGTAGTCAAGTGCTTTTGACAGAAATCAAACTTAGGTTCCTTCATTCCAATACGCAACGGAAATTTTCACTTCTAATAGTTACAACTGGGAGTGCAGGAGAGAAGTGCCCTTTGTGCATCTGACTGACTCCAAAGCAGCGCAGGGCAGTCTGTGTTAATGGTATCTGGGCAAGCTCCTTCAGAAGCCACAGCAGCCCAGCTCAGGATGGTGCCATTTCACTTCACTGCAAACCATCATGTTCAAACATGAGAGAATGTTGTAATCCAGGTGAGTCTTACACATCCTCACAGCTGCTTGGGAGTTATGACATAAAATCAATTTTAGTTTTGGATGCCAAGGGCGTGATGCTGCAAGATAACACACTGGACCAAACTGACCCACGGGCAGAGGCTGCCAGATGAGTGTCTCCCAGCATAATACTTTCACAATCCCTGAATCTTTTAAGAAAGGGCAACTACATTACTGTCTCACACTACCCTCAGCCAGCTTCCTGAGGGTGTTATGCAGGAACAGCCTCCATTCAAAGCCCCAAACACAGCAGAACTGCTGCAAGATTAAAATGGCTGTTCAGCAAGTGCCTGTATTGTTCACCTACCCCCAGCATTTTGGGGAATCAAATTCAGCTCCCAGGCAACTCTCACAGGCCACAAAAACAAGAGATGGATGCTGTGGGCTGCTTACACTGTGAGAGGCTCAAGAAGAAGAGAACATCTGCATGCAGATGGCTGGTAAGAGACAACTGCCTGCAATGGTTGCAGATAAACTTGAGAAGCAATAGGAAACAACAGGCCAAAAAGGCAGTATCCAGTTCTGGAGGCAAAACAAGACCTGAAAGGTAGTTTGCTGCAATATTTTTTTTAATACATTTCCTTCTTTTTAATAAAGATTGCCTTCCAGTTTTGAATCTTCCTCTAGCATATGCCTGTCTGTCCCCTCAACCCAAAAAGAGGCAGACAGACACATGGTCTGTGTGCTTATCCTGCTGGCAGTTTGGCTGGTATGAGTTGGCCAGTCACTTTCAGAGAGGGAGAGAACGAAAGCAATCAAGCTAAATCCTATTCGGCCAGAAAACAAACAAACGACAACAAAAATACTGCTATACAAAAAGTATGGGACTTCTTGTCTCTATTTTCAAGTCTCCTCTCTGTCAGAGAGAATTCCTGTTAGTAGATACCCATTGAAAATAGCTTCCTTAGGGCTAAGTTATATTCCCCTGCTCTTTGTCCATCTGCTTAGCTCTGCCTGTTTTGATGGAGCTGCACCTACAGGAGGAGGCTGCAACAGCACATCCACAGTGTGTGTACCAACAGGAGAAACTGCTGGTAATTGCAGGTAACTCCAAGTCCAGCCTGCCACCTCTGCCTGCCTTGACACAAATCATGCAAACACACTGGCTCCTGCAAGTCCCAAAAGCAGTTCAGCCACATCTGCAATAAAATGACTGCTAATAAGGCAGGGCTTGTTAACGTGGGTGCAGCAGTGCAGTGACTGGGCTTAGCTACACCTGGTGTTGAAGCCATCAGCAGCCTGCAGTTTTCCTTCCTGCACAGCCATGCACACTTTTGCCATGCCCGGAAAGCAGGAGCAGAATCCATACCCACAGCAAGGAATGTGGTAATCCCTTCGTGTTTTGGTTTTGCATATTTGAAAGGAAGCAGCCTGAGCTATTGAGCTATAAACAGGAAGACACCCTGACTGCACCTTTGACTTTTACTGTGTAGGTCAGATATCACAGACACCACGACAGCTCTCTGCATGCAATCATTAGGAAAAAGAAAAATCTGAAGCTAAAGCAGCAGGTTCCAGAGTTCTCGAGGAGAGTCGCAACCTGCCCACGTTAGAGGGAGCAGGTTTATTCCTTTGACAGGTTAAGCAAGTTTCACTACATCAAGTCAAGGGTGGAGAGGAAAAAGATTACTAGAGCTACGACCCAAGATAAGCAGGAAGATAAAGCCAAGCAGTACAAAGGATAGACACAATCTTCATCTCTCTCTTTTACTTTGTAACATGGATGTCATTCTGCCTCAAGAAAACATTTATCACCCAACTTCAGTTGAACTGCAGCAGATGCCAAGTCACATCCATAACCTTTCTGTTAAACGCTCCTTTCACCAAGGCTCCTCTTACTTTAAAAGTTTCCTAACTAAAATTAAAGGCGGGAATTAATGAAAGTATTTGTGCTGCCTCATCCTTTATCCTCCTTTAGAAGAGTTTGCCTTGATTGGATCTTACACTTAACATCGAAAATGTTCAACTTAACATCAAAAATGTTCACTGTTTAGCCTGCCAAGACACAAGGAGAACAGGAACAAAGCTGTGCTTATAAGTTATTTTCCCATTGTGACTACAACAACATATTTTGGCCCAACAACACTGGCATACTTTGAATACGAAAGCCATGCTTGTAAGTCAGCCTGGCTTTCAGCACGTACAATGATAAAGGAAAACGATATGACACTCATCAAATCTAGAAGAAAAAAAAAGATAAACGCTCGACACTTTAAGTGAAAATGGAATGCAAAGTAAGGCCATGCATGGAAATGCTCACATTCAGCCACAGACCTGTGTTACAGTAATAGCTGCCAGAGCACTGAAGTGACCACCACCTCAACTCAAAAGAGATCCAGAGCCGTGACTGATGGAACTTTGCTTTTTCTTCTAATTTAAATTGACAAGCTGTGGCTCTGAGCCGCCCTGCAGAACAACCCAAGAGCAGCAGACAAGCTTGGGATGGGGTGGAGCCCAGAAAACTGCACTTCAACTGTGGTCACCCATCTCCTTGGCACGCATGCATGCACACACTGCACACACACACTTGGACAGTCCTGAAGGTGGAACACTAAAATGTTACTACGAGTCACAAGATGAAGTGATGGGGAGAAAAATTTGTGCTAAACAGACTGCCCAGTACCACGAGGTAGCTAGCTTTGAATACTATCTCAGAGGAAGTGGTAGAACTTTATTTAGAATCATTTCAGACACAGAGCCAGAAAAATTTGCAAAGAATAATCCTGAAACAGCAAGAGAAAATTGTATCTTTTCCACACAAGGTCTGATTCACCTCTGAACTCTGCACGTTTAAGAACTGCTATGCAAAAAATGCAGATAACTCACTACACACTCTGCTTTTCACAGCACAGCTGTATGTGAAAAAGTTCTCATGATCTGTTCCCTCCCCCTCACCAAAAGAATTTCACAGGTGAGCCAAGAGGATCCAACTGTGCTGTGACTGTGTGCCAGTCAGCCCGCCCAGAATAATCTTATTTTTCAACTGCTTCACTCTGTTTCATTTCATCTTCCCTGGGAGAATCACCTTCCGCTTCCCCTCTTGTGCCACAACTTTCTTCTTCCCTCCGATGTCATGTGAACAGAATGAGTAAGATGACAGTTGCACCAGAATTCCCCAAGCTTCTGAAAAAGCAAACGGGCAGAAAAACTCTCTGTCCCAACACTGTAATGCAAAGCATGACTTTGGAAGGGTGAATATTGGACCAGAACAGTGGCAAGTGAATGCTTCAGCACTTTTCACTGAAGAAGAGACTTTTGTGAAAACAAACACATGCAGAGCTCAAGTGCCTCACTCCTTTTTTTCCCCTCGGGTGCTGTTGGATCAGTGCCTAAGCGAGGTGACTCACAGTGAGGGGAAAAAAAAAGAGCATGTGTCCTGCTGAACCGATAGGCAGTTTCTATTGGTCACATCCCAATCTTTACTGCATCTCCAAAAAGGGTTGCTGTATTTTCTTAATGCAGAGGGGATTTGCATGTTGATCATATAAGCCTTCTGGAAGACTCAAAACAGGGCAGCCCACAGCTCCGATGCCAAAACCAGAACGTGGGAAGGTTTTGACTGGCTGGCTCAAGGCTAGAATGAGGAGTCAAAGCATCCTGAAAGAGGCAACTGCACAACGCAGCTGCTCCCAGCTCCAGGTCCCACTGAATTACGAATGAAACCAGGAGCTCCTGCTTTGCATGCACATAACCCCATCAGCACCCCTCTGGCTCCTAGGGAGGGAGCATCCTGCAGCATGTGTGGGAACCCCTCACCTCAGTCTACAGAGAGAAAAACCACACCATCACTGCACCCCAAGTTTTCACGGCTGCTGATGTGCTCCACGTCCCTAAAGAAAGGGCCTGCCTGCCTCAGAAGCCCAGGCAAAAGGATGGTGTGGAACAAAGGGGTGGATGTGCAGCCTATGAGCAGCGACCGCAGTTAAAGCCTCTCCCTTCTAACCACG